TGTAGTTCCAGCACTTGGGAGGCAGAGGCAGGCAGATCTCTGTAAGTTCAAGGCCAGCCTGGTCTACATAGTGAGTTTCAGGCCATCTGGGGCTACAGGGAGACCCTGTTTCAAAAAGACCAAAAAATATTTATATTTGATTTCTTATTTTTATTTTATGTGTATGAGTATATTGCCTGCATGTATGTAAGTGCACTCGTGTAGTGCATTGCCTGTGAAAGTCAGAAAAGGGCGTTGGATACCCTGGAATTAGAGTTATGAATGGTTATTAGCAGTCATGTGGTGCTGGGAACTGAACCCAGGTCCTCTGCAAGAGCAGCCAATGCTCTTAACCACTGAGCTCTCTCCAGGACCTATTTATTTTGTAAAAGGAACTCAATATAATCTTTTAAAGATTTATTTTATTTAGCTGAGTGTGGTGGCACATGCCTCTAATCCTAGTACTTGGGAGGCAGAGGGAGGCAGATCTCTGTGAGTTCAAGGCCAGCCTGGTCTACATGGTGAGTTCTAGGCCAGCTGGGAGACCGTGTCTCAAAAAGACAAAAAAATAAAATAAAAATAAAATATTTGCTTTTATTTTATGTGTATTAGTGTTTTATCTGCACATATGTAAGTATACTGCATACGTGCAGTGGTCATGGAGGCCAGAAGAGAGCATTGGATCCCCTGGAACTGCGGTTATAGTGGTTGTTAGCTTCCATGTGGGTACTGGGAACTGAATCCAGGTCCTCTAGAGGAGCAGTAAGTGCTCTTAACTGCTGATCCATCTCTCCAGCACCATAAAATATAATTTAAAAGGGAGAGATTTACCAATTATGAGGTGTCTGTTGTTGACTCTATATGGTTATATACTTAGGTCCATTAATTTTCAAAATTAACTTGAGAGTTCAAATGAAATAGAAGTGGGTCTTATACATTCTTTTGTAGAGGCAAATCCTGAAGTTGGCACATAAAATGAAAATGACCCAATAATACCTTGAAATCTCTGAAGTTACCATGAAGTAGCCGTACCCACGTTTGTGACAACCTTGACCAGTGCATTCAATTTCTTGTCTCACTTGTACCCAGGTTTGGACCAACTGAACAGAATTTTGGGCAAACTACTGTCCAGTTTAATTACTTTTCTCTTTTTCCTTCCTTTTCTCTTTTTCTCCTCTTTCCTTGTGTATGTAGTTGAAGTCATATGGCATAACTCAATGTTTGTAAGCAAGTTATGGTCCTGAGGCATGAATGGGTCATGGCTGCAATGATAAGTGCTATGGGTTGCTATGCAGCTGTCAGTTTTCAGTAGAACTAGAGGTCCCTAAAATCTGATAGTGATGCTGGTTGCCTATAGTGTTTTGTTATTAAATTAAATAAAACCTTCATTTAGAGCAGCAAATATTTCTTTATTCATAAAGAAAAGTGTTTATTTTAGCTGATACTACTGATCTATCACAGATCACAGATACTACAAATATTTACGGAACAGATATTTATAGATACATTGTATCTTACAGCACTTTACATATATTGCCTTTAATTTCTTTTTTTAAAATATTGATTATTTTTATTTTATGTGTATGAGTGTATTGCCTGCATGTATGTGAGTGCACCCGTGTCATACAGTGCTGTGGAGGTCAGAAGAGGGCTTCGGATTCCCCTGGAACTGGAGTTAAGGATGGTTTGTAGCAACCATGTAGGTGCTGGGAATCAAAGCTGGGTCTTCTGCAAGAGCAGTCAGTGCTCTTAACCACTGAGCCATCTCTCTAGCCCCTTTTTTTGATCTTTTTGAGACAGGGTCTCCCCGTAGCCCCAGCTGGCCTGGAACTCTCTATGTAGACCAGGCTGGCTTTGAACTCACAGAGATTGGCCTGCCTCTGCCTCTCCAGTGCTGGGATTAAAGGCATGTACCACCATGCCTGGCCAATTTCTTTTTTTATTTATTATTTTTATTTTATGTGTATGAGTATTTTGCCTGTATGTGTGTAAGTACGTCTGTGTCAGTGTCTGCAGAGACCAGAAGAAGGTGTTGGATCCCCTGGAACCAGAGTTACAGATGGTTGTTAGCCTCCAAGTGGGTACTGCAATTCGAACCCAGGTCCTCTATAAGAACAAGTGTTCTTAACCGCTGAGCCATCTCTCTAGCCCCTTTTTAATTTCTTATAGAAACTTGATAATTTCTCATTAGTATCCACTATTATATCTTGGGTGTTTTGAGATGCCTCTCAAGTGCTTGGATTAAAGGTATATATTACCAAGGCCAGCTATTGGCTATTTTAATTAAATACTGTGAAGTTAAAGTTAAATTTGCCAGGGTCTACAGATTAGTAATACTGGCTGGGCATGGTGGCGCATGCCTCTAGTCCCAGCCCAGCACTTGGGAGGCAGAGGCAGGCAGATATCTCTGAGTTTAAGGCCAGCCTGGTCTACATAGTGAATTCAAGGACAGCTGGGGCTACAGGGAGATCCTGTCTCAAAAAGACTAAAAAAAACCAAACAAACCAGAACAGATTAGTGATACTGGCTCCTTTGACTAATTTCCCAAACTTCTTTAAATTTTTTAAAAAATGTATGTGAGAGGGGGACTAGAGAGATGGCTTAGTGGTTAAGAGCACTGACTGCTCTTGCAGAGGACCTGGGTTCGATTCCCAGCACTCACATGGGGGCTATGAACCGTCCTTATCTCCAGTTCCAGGGGAATCTGAAGCCCTCTTCAGACCTCCACGGCATTGTACAAGACGGGTGCACTCACATACATGCAGGCAATACACTCATACACATAAAATAAAAATAATAAATATTTAAAAAAAAAGAAAAGTCCAGGTGTGGTGGCGCATGCCTGTAGTCCCAGCACTTGGGAGGCAGAGGCAGGCGGATCTCTGTGAGTTCAAGGCCAGCCTGGTCTACATAGTGAGTTCCAGGACGAGGGGACCCTGCTTCAAAAAGGAAAAAAAGAAAAAAAAAAAAGAAAAGTGCATGTGCTCAGGTACACTTGGGCATCATGGCACATGTATGAAAGTCAGAGGACAGCTTCCAGGAGTTGGTTCTTTCCTTCCACTATTGGTTCCAGGGATTGAACTCAGGTTGTCAGGCTTAGGTAGCAAGTGGTCTTACCCAGTGAGCTCACTGGTCCCCAGATGAACTTCTTAGAATAGGCAAACCTTTCCCTTTAGCCCTAGACCTTCCTGACAGTAGGTCTTGCCCAATTAGAATGATACTAGATTAAGACTGAGAACAAACTGGAGACAGATCGGGAAGTTCATGAAGTAAATAATACAGTACCTGCAAACACTGGGAGAGCACAAATGTTGCTAAACTGGTAGAGGCTTGGGAGGAAGGACTGAGAACAGGGTATCGCTATAGGGAGAGCAAAGAGGCTTGGTGGCAGCATGCTTCCTTGAGAAAGGTCACCTTTACCCAATGGAGGGAAGGACAGGCACTGTTCAGTTGGGATCAGCCATCTTCAAGGCTTCTTGGTTAGTTGGGGAGTAGGCAGGGGTTCATCTTCCACTTCAACAATACTTTTGCACAGTTGAGCAGCCACAGGACCATCTCACTATGACTGAAGCACACCTCACCCCAGCATTCTTTTGTGAGAAAGAAGACACTAAAGAAATGGACCACCTTGCATTTTAACATTCAGGTTTGGCAGTGTTCTGAGAAACCGAGCCATGTGGGCCGATTTAATAGCTTCATTTTATTTTATGATTGATTGATTGATTGATTGATAGTCTTTTTGAGACACAGTCTCCCTGTAGCCCCAGCTGGCCTGGAACTTTCTATGTAGACAGGTTGGCCTTAATCTCACAAGGATCCACCTGAGTGCTGGGATTAAAGGCATGTACCACCACACCCAACTAATAGTCACCATACCCAACTAATACTGGGTGTGGCTTAGAATAATTAATAACTTACAAAGTGGTAAATTGGTCATTGAATAACCTTGGACCAACAAATACAAGACCAATATTCTTTTTTTTTGTCTTTTTGAGACAGGGTCTCTGTGTATCCCCAGCTGGCCTGGAACTCACTATGTAGACCAGGCTGGCCTCAAACTCACAAAGATCTGCCTGCCTCTGCCTCCCAAGTGTTGGGATTAAAGGCGTGCATCACCACGCCCAGCAAGACCAATATTCTTTACCCATTATCAGCCGGACAGTAGGTATGCTTACTAGGGCTGAATGTATGTGACCTTCCTGTAAGTATAGCTCAAAACCCCCAAATGCCTTCGATTGGATTTTGAGCCTTATAAGTATTAGGAAAGAAGAGATGAGGAAAGGATATTTTGAAAACATTCAAGCAGTGACTTTAGGAGTCTGGCCATTCTCATCTGCTCTTGCCCTGAGGCATTTGAAGCTGCCTGTCAGACTGTCCAGTGCTTGCTGCCCTCAGACCCTTTGTGACTTTGTGTCTTGGCAGGATATACAATGAAAGCTATGTTCCTCATGGGCTGAAGGTGGTACAGCGTCACACCGAGGGTGGGCTTCGGTCCCTCATGCAGCTGGAGAGCCGTTGGCGGCAGCACTTCCTAGACTCCATGCAGCCCAAGCACCTGCCCCAGCAGTGGTCTGTGGACCACAACCATCAGAAGCTGCTCCGCAAGTATGGAGATGACCTCCCCATCAAGCTGTCATGATCACTGCTTCCTGCAGGTCAGGACAGATGGGAAGCTGGAGTCAAGATCAAAGTTACCTCCTGTTTTAATGTCATTTATGGTCACAGCCCAGGTGACACTGCTCAGAATGCTAACCTCTGCCAATCCCCGGGTGCTTCTGATGGAGCAAGGCTGTTTTAAGTGGAGCTTATCATTTTGAATTTTAGCTGAGCAGTTAGTATTCTCTTCTCCCTCCTCTCTTCTTTTTGTGAGCAAGAGACGCTTCGGCTTTTATTTTTACTCTCCCTCTTTGCTTTTCCTGCTAAGAGGGAAAATGAAGACTTCTCCCTGATGAGGTGACTTGTCAGGTGCTCAGAAGATGTTTGTAATATGCTTCTTTCCCCTCTGTTGCATTGCTTTATCTTTCCCGAGGACTAGCCGGGGTTTCAGTCTCATCAGCTTAGAAGGGTGAAAATAATTCTTTCAGAGATTGAGAAAGTGGCCAAGGCGTCAGAGTCATATTTCCAGTTCAACCTCATGATTTTAATTTCTCTTGCTCTCTCATAATTCATCTGGTTGGGGTCCATCCCAACTGGGTTACTTGAGTTTATTTTACATACTTGAAAACGTTCCCCTTTATGCACATAGGACCAAAGCAGCAGCCTCCTGCCATGTGCTTCTCCCCTAACACTGGGGAAGTCCTGTTCTGGAAATAAGTTTTCAGCTGGGTGGGATGGACAAGCACACACACCCTTTCCCAGGAGAGCTTTGATACATTGCTCAGCTTTTCCTCAGGCCTATTGTCTGTTTATTAAGCATGTTACTTGACCAGAACTATATGATTTTCAGTTTTATCTGTTTCTGAGGATTATCTTCTCAGAATCAGTGTCTGCTTCCTTCAGGGCTCTGTTTCATTAGATTTGCAATACTGACCTCTCTTTAAGCACTTAATTCACTCCCAGAGCCATTTGGCCAGGTCACAGTGTGAGGACTTCACCCTCCCTGGAGCCTGGGACACTGAGATTAACTAACCCATTAAAGGTTTGAAAGAGTAATGTTTCATCTTTCAAAATGTTGAACTACTACTTTGAGAATGAAAGCAGTTTATTAGCAATTAGCATTTTTTTCTAAACTGTTAGGAAAACTTTCTTATTTTACAAGATCTTAAGCTTGAAAAGAATTTTATGGCCAGAATCCAACAAGAGTTCTATTTTGGAATTGTTCTCAAGTTGGTTATAATTGATCTGACATTGATAAATAAAGCTACTTCAAAGCACATGGCTTGGTGATTGTAAATGTAAAACTTTTCTTAATAACTTTACAAAATTATAAGTATTCTTGGGGGAATTGCTATTTATCCTGTGGAGTCTTTGCCTCATGGCAGTACTATGGTATGTATGCATGGATAGACCACACATTACTATATTACAAGCTATCAGGCTGGGTTTTACAGTCCACGGACACCTTCGTGTCCTGCACTCCGTTCTGCCGCTTCCTTCCCACTTGTCCTCAAACAGGCATTTCTGGGACTGAGACTAGATGTCCTTGAAAACAAATGGTCGAGCTCCTTTGAGGATTTATGTTTAATGTAGTAGATGATCACAGGATCTGTGCCTTATGGCTATGTGAAGCTCAGGACTGAAAAAGCCCTAGAGATGAATGAGAAGACAGACTCATTCTTGGTCATGCTAGTTGTCAGGCTTGCCACAAGGTGGCACTCAGAGATTTGTTTTTATATCCATTCTTGAGCAGTAAGCCACTTTTATACATGGTTATTGAATATAACATATGACCTTTATTTCAAAATAGGCACAGCGGATTTTGAGTCACTTTCATGGCTTCACAAGAAAACCTTTTCCTCTGAAACAAGAGAGGCAGGTTCTCCCAGTCCTGATCTGCATGCAAAGGTGTGAGATGTACTGTCACTTCAGTGAAGGGTACTGGTTGCTGTGAGAAGAAGTCCACTGGGACTTCCTGCAAGGTCCAGTGAAAGAACCGCAGCAGATAGAGAAGAAAGCTAGCCTGTGTCACACAGGATACCTGACCCTTTTTAGAAGAGTATTACCATGTAGATTTGAATCTGTATTCTCAGTCTGCCTTGAAATTTAGAGCCTTTCCCTAAGGCTGACAGTTTCCATCTTGAATGAGAAATTTTAGGGTAAATATTTTAAAATCTAAATCTGTTTTTCTGATATAAAATATATGAAGCAGGGTGTAGGTGGCACTTGTCTGAAATTTCAGCACTCAGAAAGCTACAGCAAGAGGATGGTGAGTTCAAGCCTAGTCTGGATTACACAGTGAGATACTGTCTCAAAAAAATTTTTTTTAATTTAAAAATTGATGCCAGGCATAGTGGTACATGCCTTTAATCCCAGCACACCGAAGCAGAGGCAGGAAATCTTTCTGAGTTCAAGGCCAGCCTGGTCTAGATAATGAGTTCCACGCTAGCTGGGGCTACAGGGAGACCCTGTCTCAAAAAGAACCAAAAATAAATAAATACATAAATAAATTTTAAAAACAGTACATTGCCAGGTGTGGCAGCACACACCTTTAATTCCAGAACTCTAGAGGCAGAAACATGTGGATCTCTCTGAGTCTGAGGCTAGTTTGTTCTATTAGGGAATTCCAGGTCAGCCAGGGTTACATAGCGAGATTCTGTCTCAAAAAAATAGTAAAATAAAATAAAAAATAAAAGTAGTACATGTTCATTAGGGAAAAGTCTAAAAGAATAGGACTAGAGATAGGACTTAGTGGTTAAGAGTCTTCCTGCTCTTTGCAGAGTTCAGTCCTCATCACCCATGTCAGGTGGCTCACAACTGTTACTCCAAGTCCAGGGGATTGGGCTCCCACTTCTAGCCTCCACAGACACACACAAGCACACTACCCCCCCCACACACACATTAAAATAAAATTTGGAAAAAGAATAAAAATCATCCATCTTCCTTCTATCTAAAACAGAGCTAAACTTTGCTGATATGTTTAAGAATTTCCTATCCATATTAAAAATAGGTATAATATATTTAAACAAAACTGAGTATCGTGTGTGTGTGTGTGTGTCTGAGAGAGAGAGAGAGAGAGAGTTTAAGCCCAGCCTGGATAACATGAGACCCTATCTCAGAACAAAACAAAAATAAACATAATAAAACCAATAAAAATAAATAATAAAAAAATAAAATATATTTTTTTCTCTTAAAATAAAGGTTATAGGGACTGGAGAGATGGCTCAGTGGTTAAGAGCACTGACTGCTCTTGCAGAGGACCCAGTACCCACATGGCACCTAACAATCATCTGTAATTCCAGTTCCAGAGGATCTGAGACCCTCTTCTGTCCTCTTCGGGCATTGTACGATACAGATGCACTTACATGGAGACATAACACTCATACACATAAAAGTAAATAAATAATTTAAAAAATAAAGGTTATAGAAAGATTTTTTTAAAAAAACAGGACAGTATTTAATAAGTTATCATCCTGAAGTAAATGAAGCACACATTTGGGATTTGTTGCTACTTAGAAGTGCAGTTATATGTTACTTATTCTTACCCATGTCACAGATAGATCAGATGACAGAACATGTTTTGTTGAAATAAAGCCATTTTAATCCCTTGTTCTCAACTCTTAGAAACCCAGCAGGCAGCAAGCACTTTAGTTTAGCTTCTTACTTGCCCTTTTGATGGGCCCCCAACATTTGATTGCAAGTTAAATTCCTAGGTTATCTTGCCTCTTGAAATCTTCATTAATTTATCTTTTCTTCTATTTTTTTCTTCATTAGGTCTCATCTTTAGATATTAAAAATATTTTTACATTTATTTTTGGGCTTTTTATTTTCTTTTGTTTGTTTGTTTGTTTGTTTGAGACATGGTCTCTCTATAGCTGTAGTTGGCCTGGAATCCGCCTGCCTCTGCCTCCTGAGTGCTGGGATTAAAGGCGTGCACCACCACGCCCGGCCGTTATTATTATTTATTATTTTTAAATAATATTATTCTCATTTCATGTGTATGAGTGTATTGGCTACATGTATGTGAGTGCACCTGTGTCGTGCAGTGCTGTGGAGGTCAGAAGAGGGCTTTGAATTCCCCTGGAACTGGAGCTAAGGACGGTTCATAGCTGCCATGTGGGTACTGGTAATCAAACCTGGGTCCTCTGCAAGAGCAGTCAGTGCTCTTAACCGCTGAGCCATCTCTCCAGTCCCGCCTGACTTTTTTTTTTTTAACATTTATTTGTTCGTGTACAGGATGTGTATGTATGTGGTTGCGTATGGGCCAGAATGAATGTGTGGAAGTCAGTGCACAACTTGTGAGAGTCAGTTCTCTCCTTCTACCATGTGGGTTCTGAGGATCAAACTCAGGTCATCAGGCTTGGTGGTAAAAGCCTTTACCTGCTGAGTCATCTCACTGGTCCAGGCATCATTTTTGTTTTTTTCCAGGTCTTTTTGAGACAGGGTCTCCCTGTAGCACTAGCTGTCCTGGAACTCACTATGTAGACCAGGCTGGCCTTGATCTCACAGAGATCCACCTGCCTCTGCCTCCTGAGTGCTGGGATTAAAGGCATGCACCACCACACCCAGCTGTTAGGCATCATTTTTTAAGGTAATAGAAATGGAGACAGTTTATTAAGAAGGGGAAGTACTCCTGAGCATGGGAGCAGGCAGGTGAGCTGTGGAGGCATATGCCAAAAAGCCTCATTTGTTTTCCTAAAGGAAATTTTGTTTATTATTATTTTATTATTATTATTGTCTTTTTTGAGACAGGGTCTTCCTGTAGCTCCAGCTGTCCTGGAACTCACTATGTAGACCAGGCTGACCTTGAACTCACAGAGATCTGCCTGCCTCTGCCTCCCAAGTGCTGGGATTAAAGGTATGCACCACCACGCCCGGCTTGTTAGTTTATTATTATAGTACTAATTGTGATACATTATTATTTGTGGTCTAGTTAAGATGCATCCCCTCCCCATCAAAGTCCCCAGAATCAATTTTTCTTGGAAGAAAAGCAGGTATAAAAATAATTCTTGTTGCCGGCGTGATGGCACACACCTTTATTCCCAGCACTCGGGAGGCAGAGGCAGGTGAATCTCTGTGAGTTCGAGGCCAGCCTGGTCTACATAGTGAGTTCCAGGCCAGCTGGGGCTACAGGGAAACCCTGTCTCAAAAAGACAAAAAAAAAAAAAAAAAAATTCTTGCTGGGAGTGGTAACGCCCTACATGTGACTAGCTCATAGGGAGCCTGGAGGAATCTTTGGCTCTGGATGTTGTATAACCCTGGCTTGTCAGTATCTTCATCCTGCTCACCTTTGCCTTTACTTGGTGATCAACTAGACAGGCATGTGCAAAAGGTAAAGTCTGCATTATCAGCTACATACAGACTTTCCCCTGCATGTCACTTCCTATGGCCTGGCAGGAAATGCATTTCCTAATCCATATTTGTGCATAGTTTCCCAAAGAATATGTTGGTTTTTCCTTGTGTAACACAGATTTGTACCAATATGTTCAACTTGGAGCTCTTTTTCACAATCATCTAGAAATAAACACAACCCACAAGTTTCTACCAAAATGGAGTCTTTTGCTGTCCTAGAAAAAGTGACCAGCTAGCCAAAATGAAGGCTGGAGTACACTGTGCTGCCCTCTCCTAGATGTCTTCTAATATATTTAAACTTTGGACATGTTTTATTTTACCCCATAGAGCCAGAGCCAATGAAAGCCTCAGTCTGGCTTAGTTTCTCAAGTCAAGATAGCAGTATTTGGCCTAGAGGTCTGCTAAGCCTGAGCTCCAGCACATATGGCTTCCTCTGAGCTCTTGGGCACAATGAGCAGGAAGAAAGTTGGCTTGGTAAAAGAACAGAAGATGGAAGATGACTTGGGGTTACATTTTCTTTCTAAAATGTTACACAAGTGCAGAGCAGTTGGCTGCCATCCTCCTCTCAAACCATCAGCAGAGCTTGACCTTGGCCAAGATTTTGCCTCATCCCCTCGGCATTTCAGCATGGAGTTGCGTTTCAGCCATGGAATGCTTAACTAAAAGCACATGCTGTAGCAGTGGGTTCCAAAGAGCAAGTTTTTGCAAAAAGCCAGCATAGCATTGTTTTCTTAAAACAGCAGCCTTTTCTGAACCACCAGCCCAGAAATCCTCAAATTGGTAACTGGCTTATTTGTACACAGGGCTGGGGTTTGTTAACAGTACTTTAGTGAAGTGTGGTATGGCTAGCATACAGCAGACACATGTATCTGAAGAGTGCAGCTGGATGAATTTTGACAGACTTACACACCCATATAACTGCCAGGG